TTGTGAGCCAATAGTCTCTCTTCTGCGGCAGTATACTCAGCCAAAGAACCAATCACCTTTGGATATTCCAAAGCTTTTACATTGATATCACCATAAACTTCGTCTCCAACCTTAAATTTCTTCACTTCACTTCCCACTTTAACCACAACTCCAGCAACATCATACCCCGGAGCAGTCTTCACACACAAAATTATATAATAAATAAATAGAACAAATTTAGGACAGAATAAGCAATAAAAAGTAAAACATCCCTATTTTTTTACGAAAGATGCGATTTTATTTTATTTTTTCTAGTTTCCCACTAAAATCTCTGTTGTTATTCTGAACAAGCATAATAACAAACGACAACCAACCAAATAATTGCAGAAGTGTTTGACTGTGATTTGTGAGTGTTCAAACGGGATTTTGGAAGAGGAAACGTGAGTTTACCTATTTTTAAGGTTTATGGTTGTGCATTCAAGTCTTGAGCTAAACGAAATTCTAACTCCAAAATCAAATTTAGCATGAAATGTCTTCAATTTGACTACAATGTCATTTCAAAATAAATAATCTCAAACATTCACCAATTAGACCAAAACCTATTTTTATTCAAAATCAATTTCAGCATATCAAAGCCCACAATACATGGCCCAAATCTAAAGGGTTACAATTAACGATAAGCAGGAAAAAAAAAAAAAAGATTTTAACTTTTAAGGGAAAGAAATATTAAAAAAAAAAAAATAGTTTCATGAAACTTATTTCTTACATTATCTTATAAAATACAATCAGTTAAGGACAGCTAACCATAAAACAAACAGTGAAATAAATCTGAATTTTATGATGAAGCAAAAGACAAATGGGTAATGAAATTGTGTTACTTACAGGTAAAGGGGAGTCAGTGTTCCTGAAAAGGCCTTCCATTCTCTTGTGATCAATGGGGTTAAGAGAAGCAGCAGAAACCTTGATGAGGACCTGATCTTCCTTCACCTCAGGCAAAGGCACACTCTGGTTGAACTTTAGAACTTGGTTTGATTTCCCATACTCTGAATACGTCCATGCTTTCATGTGAGAAGGTATTGATATTGCAGCCATGTTTCAAATGAATTGGAGTACAGAGTGAAGGGAAACGGAACCAACAAAAATTAAATAGATGTATCAGATGCAGGGTTAGTGAGAGAGTAAAGTTAGAAAAAAAATATCTAACATTATTGAACTACGCCGGCCATGTGATTGTTAGAGCACGTTTAAAGCGACTATTGGTTGTTTAGAAATAATCTTTCATTATTAGCCTTATAGGAAAAAGTGATTATTTTTAATCAACTGAATCACATGACGATGAGTATTGATTATTTGTCCCTGTGTTGACTTTTCCTTTTTTCTTTTTTGATAGGGTAGTTCCGTAAGCTAAACTGTAATATTAATATGTTATGAGGTTTATTGTAGAGTTATTTTTAAAAACAAATTACTTAAAAATAATTATTTTAAATAATTTATATTTTTAAATTATTTATTATAGAGTCATCATAGATTATATATTTATAGTGATTTAAATGTCACATTTATTTTAATAAATCATGAAATAAAGGTCATTACAACGAATAATAATTTAATTTAAGTCGTTATATTGTAACGACAAATAACGACTTATTTTTAATTTTTCTGGAATAGTTACAGCATGTAGGAATTCAAATTAAATTTTTTTTTTTAAATTGTTACAAATTAGATAATTTTTTTTAATATTCAATGGGTTGCTATAAGTCATAACAATCTCATTTAAATCTGTTTTATCAAAAATAGTTAATTTATTTAATTTCTTAACATATAACATTTTGAAGAAAAAAATTAATTAACTTTTATATTTTTTTAAGCTTAACATAGTTTCTTAAAAAATAAAGTAAAAAATAAAATTCATTTTGTTAATTTATGAATATAGGTTAAATTCTTTTTTATTTGAAGTGAAAAAGTGATTATTTTTAATCAACTGAATGGCATGACAATGAATCCAGATTATTGAATGTTATGTCGCTGTGTTGACTTTTCCTTTTTCCTTTTTTGATAGGGTAGTTTTGTAAGCTAAACTATGATATTAATGTGTTATGATGTTTATTATAGAGTTACTTTCAAAAATAAATTACTTAAAAAGAATTGTTTTGCATAATTATATTTTTTAGATTATTTATCATAGAATTTAAGTTTTAATTTTTTTTAACAAATTATGAGAGTCATGAAATAAAGATCGTTACAGTTAATAATAATCTAATTTAAATTGTTACAGTAATAGTACATAACGAATATTTTTTCTTTTTTTTATAATTATTATAACTTGTAACGATTCAAATTAAGAAATATTTTTTTAAAACTATTAAAGATAAAATAAAATTAATATTCAAAGAAGTCATTGTGATCATAGCAATCCATTTAAAAAAAATTTCTCAAAAGAAATTTATTTATTTAATTTTTTAACATATAACATTTTGCAAAAATTAATTAATTTTTATATTTTTTAAGATTAACTTAGTTTCTTAAAAAATAAAGTAAAAAATAAAAATTCATTTTTTAATTTAATTTTTCAAATTAAAAAATATAATTGAAAAAAAAATACACATATATATATACAAATATCAATATAAATTTATGACTGTAAGTTAAATTCTTTTTTAATGGAAGTGAAATAAAAATTTAATAAATTATTAAATAAATAAAAATAATAAGTAAATAAATATTTTTATTATTATTTAAAGGAGTCAATATGGTCATAGCAATCCATTTTAATTTTTTTTTTATAAAAATTAATTTATTTTTTGTGTTAATTTAATTTTACAATAAAATAATATAATTGGAATATATAAATACATATATATATATAACAAATATAAATATAAATTTAAGAATGTAGGTTAAAATTTTTTTTATTTGAACTAGAATAAAAAATTAACAAATTATTAAATAAATAAAATTAATATATAAATAAATAAATCAATAATTTTTTAATATTTAATGTGAGACCCTCGGTCTTTCTCTTCTCTCCCTCTCAACATATCACTTACAGCCTTCCTTCTTCCTCTCATTCTTTCTCTCCCACTCACTTTGACTTGTTCATTCTCTTATCTTGGTGGACGTAGGAGCTGTGTGAAGGTGTGGGAATGAAGCTGAAGCGCGGACTCTTCCTCCTCCGTTCATCATTTTCTCCGTTCGTTTTCAACTCTCTCCTTCCCGGAAGCTCGGATTTCTTCACCGAGGTAAGGGAAGTTAGTTTTCTTGCTACGTTTTGGTTGAAATGGGTTTGAGAACTCATTGGGTTGTTAAAGATTGTCGGATTCTTGGCTGATTGGGTGAAATATTGAGTTTTGGGGACTTTGGGGTTTTGAGAAAATTCTTGGTTTTTATTTGATTTGTGGATGCATGTGTGAAAAGATGTTATTTTTGAACTCCTGGATGAAAATGTGGTATCTTGGCTGGATTGCATGTGTTGGATGGCTTGATTTGTGCAGGTTTGATGAAATTTTCCAAACTGGAGAGAGTTCCTGTTTGAATTTGCACCGGGCGTAGTTCTTCGCGCCAGGCGCAGTTCTAAATTGGAAATCTCTGGGTGAATCGCGCCGGGCTCGGGGAGAACCACGCCTGGCGCAATAGACTCTGTAGGTCTCGGGGTTGAGTATTGCGCCGGGCGCGATTTTAATGCGCCGGGCGATCATTTTATTTTCAGAATTTGACTTTATAGTCTTCATGAAAGTTGTAGCCTTGGATGTTAGCTTTCCAATGGCGCTAAAATCACTCAAAAAGGAGTCTTAGAACTCTAGATATGGCCGTTTTAGTGAAGAGGGGTCAAGCTGCCAGCATTTCTTATAGTTGTTGCGGTTTTTAGAATTTTTAACAAGGTAGATGAGGGAATTAGGACTTGGTGTCTTCATGAGAGTTGTAGGAAATCTCTTATCTTTCATATGAGATAAGGATGATTATGTTAGGAGTATTATAACTCTTGATGCGCTGTTTTCTGTGAAGGTTGCCATTTCCCTTTTAGTGATTTGGTTAAGTTGAAAGTTGTTTTAGGTGCTTAGGTGTATTGGTGTTGTTTGGGTGAGTAAGTTGACAAGATAGATGAGTTGTAAACAAGATGGTTGGGTCGTACTATGTGTTGAACATGTTGTACATTGTGAGGTTGTTGATCATGCTGTTTTAAGATGTTAATGATGAATGTTATTGAGCTGAATGATGATATTGATGTGCTGCTCTGAGCGCGGCCCTTGTCGCACTGGGTGTGAGACTCCTTGGGAGTCTCTACCTCGAGGGCGCTGGGCGCAATTTGGTTTGCGCTGGGCGCGAGATCAAGGAAGGTCTCTGCCTTGCCTAGCTGGGCGCGGGTTGAGGCACGCCGGGCGTGTGAGACTCCTTGGAGTCTCTGCCTGACGTGCGCTGGGCGCAATTGGATATTGTGCCAGGCGCGAGGGAGCTTTGGACTCTCTGGCTAAGTCTCGCCGGGCGCAGGCACGCTTGCGCCGGGCGCGCTGGCCCTGGAGCCCTCTGGTTGTGCCACGCCGGGCGCGACTATGAGTGCACCGGGCGCGTATGAGGATGTGAAATTATATGCTGAATTTGCTGATAATATTGTTTTACGCTGAACTAAGCTGAAATTGATGAATATGATGTGATGACTAGCTGAGATTGTTGTTTGATGATGTTGAGCTGTGTTAGGTGTATATTGCTGTAAGATGCTTAGATGTGCTGTAAGACGATAGGCTGTGCTATTAACCTGAGCCGTGCTGAATGTTGTTTATGCTGATAGTAGTTGAATTATGTTGTAATTGCTGAGCCGAGATGTAATTGATAAATATGTTGTGCTGACTAGATATAAATGTTGAAAAATGATGTTAAGTTGTAATAGATGTATCTCGCTATGCTGAACTGGGCTGTTATTGATGATTTTAAAATGCTGATTTATAATATGGTTGTACTCTAAAATGATGAGCCGAGTTGTGAGTAGTAAGTTGTGTTGAATACTACTTAGTTGTGCTGTATGCTGATTTTGCTGTGCTGTGTTGTGAGCTGTTTTGCTGTGCTATTTATTGCTGAGCTGTATGCTGTGTTTAGCCACTGTTGTGGTGCTGTTATAGCCGTTATGTCTGTGCTGTTAGCCACTATTGTGGTGTTGTTAAAGCCGCTAAGTCGGTGTTGTTATAGTCGCTAAGTCGGTGCTGTGCTCCGTGCTGATAGGAGCTGTTGTAGGCCGTAAGGATGAGCTGTTGTAGGAGATCTCTGAGCTGATATGTGTGACAACGCATTGTGTGTTTACTACTATTTATCAATGTGTACTGTTGTTTACTGTTGTTATTACTAAAAGATGTGGGATGTGTGTTGTTATAAATATATAGCTGATGTTGTTAAACTAATTGATGTTCTGATAGCTGTAACTGTTTACTATTCTTAAATTTATATATATGTATGTTGTTTCTTTCACTAGCTTACCCTTTGTTGTTTCCATGTGGTTTGGACTGCGATGATCATACTCTGTATGGGAGCAGAGCAGGGATAGGTGGTGGCTAGTGGTGAGTCTGCAGCTGGCAAGCGGAGCTGTCTCCTTTTAATGTTTTGTTTGTTTCAGCTACTTGGTATAGTGACTTTGGGTGTATTTTTGTACATTTTGAATCTAGTCAGACTTGGACATGTATATATGTATATTCTAGACACTATATGTATACACTTGTTCTTTTCTGTCCGGCTTCAGGTGTACGGTGTAGTGTGTAGTGACCAGCCGGGTCGTTACATTTAAAGAAATTACTATAGATCATAGTGAATTCATTTAAATTTTTGTTTTAAAGAATTAATTTATTTAATTTTTTAACATATTAACATTTGAAAAAAAAAATATTTATAAATTTTAGAGGATAACATAGTTTCTTAAAAAATAAAGTACGAATAAAATTCATTTTTTAGCAATTTAATTTTACAATATAACAAATACCATTGAATATATATATAGAGAGAGAGTAAATATTTTTTTATTTGAACTTAAATAAAAAATTTAACAAATTATTAAATAAATAAATATAATGAATAAATAAATAACTTTTTTTAATATTTAAATAGATCACTATGGGTCATAATGATCTTATTTTATTTTTTTACAAGAAAATTAATTTATTTTTTTAGCATATTAAGATTTAAAAAAAATCTTATTTGTACATTTTTTAAGGGTAATAAAATTACTTAAAAAGATAAACTTCATTTTATTATGAATTTAATTATATGATATAAAAAATATAA